TGTGTGTGTGTGTGTGTGTGTGTGTGTACACAAGTTGACAAAATTAAATGCAATTCGAATTCACAATGGTTCTGTTCCAAAATCTAGTGAGCGCCCTATGTAGGCAGCATTTCAAGACATCGTATGTGACCCTGGAGCACAGTCATAAGTAGCACGAGTATATTTGTAGCAATAGCCAACAATACAGTGTATGGGTCAAAATTATAAATTTTTCTTTTATGCCAAAAATCATTAGGATATTAAGTAAAGATCATGTTCCATGAAGATATTTTGTCAATTTCCTACCGTAAATATATCAAAATGTAATTTTTGATCAGTAATATGCATTGCTAAGAACTTCATTTGGACAACTTTAAAGATGATTTTCTCAATATTTAGATTTTTTTGCACCCTCAGATTCCAGATTTTCAAATAGTTGTATCTCAGCCAAATATTGTCCGATCCTAACAAACCATACATCAATGAAAGCTTATTGATGAAGCTATCAGCTGATGTATACATCTCAATTTCGAAAAATTGACCCTTATGACTGGTTTTGTAGTCCAGGGTCACACATGCGCGAATATATGCGTCCATATCACACTCTGGATGCAATCCCATAATGCATTGCAACACACAAAGTGTGGAAAAAAACAGATTGCAGGGGCATAGGAACAATTTGAATGTTTTAATCAGTGGCATTGCTGCAGTTCAAAAAGTGAAATCATGTAATTTTCTTTACCATGTTTGTTATAGAATTACTGATTATAAATCTACTTATAAATTATAGAATTACTATTATTATCAGAATTATAAATAATTATAATTTATATTAATTATTTATAATTAATTTAAATTGTATAAATATAATTAATTATATAAATTATATTATAATTAATTATAACTGTATATTATTATCAAATATATTTATTATTAATCATTTTGGAGTTTACTGGGTTTTGGGACAGTGGCCACTTTTACTAACTTTTACGATTGGCCTGGTTGATTATGTTGATCTGTATGCATGCGTGTATGTCAAGGGCGGATGCACTAAAGACATACTACACACACACACACACACACACACTTTAAACTGAGAGAGGAGGCCTGACTGTAGGTCTAATGTCTGTATAGATAGGATCTTAGTTGACCACAAGAGAGCCGAAGTGCAGGAACCGGCCCCAAAAATAAGCCCGAATGCTGCTCGACATTTATTTATTATTCATAACAAGGCTATCCGGCTGCTTCGACCTCACATTACCTGGATCTCCAGTGGATTTAGTTCAAGACAAGGCCTTACTTTACCCTCTATCAGAGACCTTGACATCAAAATCCATGTTATACGGACCCGTTTCGTTGTAGTCCATCACTAAAGTGCTGCTTTTTGAAAGCAGGTGTCGTTTTTTTGTCACGTCTTCAAACGTTGGGCCTCGTTCATGAAACATGAGCAGAATTGTCCATCAACCATTTTACATGTAAATTGCGACAACTTTACATACTCAAATGGTTCGTAAAACCATGTTTTTGGAAGGGTCTATGTAAATCGTTGTACTGATGCACCAATTTGCATGCATGCATGTCCAAAAATTTGCTTCAACTCAACACAGGGAATTTGTGTAAATCATTGTCGCACAAACGAACGATTATAAACACGTCCCACCGATTTTCCCCCCATTCCAGAAGTTTTTGCGCTGCTCTCTTGTGGTCATGAGCTGTAAATACCACTCGTATTGTTTCTGTTTATACGTCTAATGAAAAGATAGGCTAATACAGTTAATCAGCTGGAAAGAAGCTTGGGAGAAATATGCAAATCTGATATTTTCATATGTTTTGGTCTCTATTTCTCTCTCGGATGACATAATAAGCTTTTACGACCGTATCTATCCCTGATGCTTTTAGGTGCGAATTGCGCATTGGATTTTATTGTTTATAAACGATTATCATGGCTTAGTTTTGTACGGATTCTGAGACATCAAACTGGTTATATTTTTATCTCTGCAAATCGACGAGACATCTCAACCAGACTGCTGCTGAGCTGCATTAGCTGTTTCCTCGTTCGCAAACTCAACTCAAAACTGGTGCTTTAGTTTAGTTTTTGCTACAACCGCTGCCTCAAACCAGCCAATCTGACACACACACACACACACACACACACACACGCAACGAAGCTTTAACATTACCGCGGGTGAAACGGGAAGAGGGGCTCGTCCAGACGTTGACTGCTAACCGAAAAAAAAAAGCTTGAAGGATTTTGGAGAGTTGGATGAACGCCGTCCTCCAATGGCGAAACCGTCTTGCAGACGATAAACTGGATTGCAGATACATGTATATACCAGTTACGATAAGCTTCGGTTGGATTATACTAGTTTTGCTTGCGCTAAAGAACATTGGATGATCAGCCGTTGAGTGTTTTCGTAACTACGAAAAGGTGCCCCTTTTCACCCTCAGATCTAGGATCGCTTGCATCCGATCAACAAGGGAAAATAAACCAACAACCTCTTTGTCCCGCTCTGGATTTTCGTCACCTCAACCAAGCTACAAGAGAAAGGGCCTCCAACTGCGAGAGTCCTGCCAGTTTTGGGTTTGCTTCATTGGGTGTCAACGGATGGACGTTATGAATGGAAAAATGGGGGTTTCTGCCGTTTCGGTGTCCGTTGATCAGTATTTTCACAAGGGGGACGTTGCCGTAGATGCATATACTGCAAAAAAATGTTTCTTCCTTTGTATTTTTGTCTTGTTTTGTAGTATAAATATAAAAAAATTCTTCAATCAGGGTGCATTTACTTGACAAGTAAAATGGCTTAAAGGGGTCCTATTATGCTTTTTCACTTTTTCAACTTCTGTAATGTTGCTGTTTGAGCATAAAAAAGATCTGCAAAGTTACAAAGCTCAAAGTCCAATTCAAAAGGAGATCTTTTATTGAACATAAATCACTTTTTAAAACTACAACGATCGACTCGTTTGGACTACAACGCATATTTTCCGGGATTTGTGATATCACAAATACCGACGAATGGGACGAGACCTGGTTGAGCTGCACTAGAGAAGGCAACGAGTGTTATCACTATGTCGGAGACACGCTAGCTTTCCCAAGGCAGACGAACTTAGAGTGGTTACAATCATCCAGGTTTAAATCACGCTCAAATTGATTTGATTTTGACGCAATATTTACACTGAAGTTCGCAGGCGGCGGCTATGGTAAGGGGCATGACATTTCCCGACCAGGCGCAGAGTGCTGCCAATCACAGCTCACACTGGCCCAGCTAACCAATCACAGCTCACACTGGCCCAGCTAACCAATCACAGCACATTTCG